TTCGAGAGACTATCCAAGATGATCATTGATATCGATCGTACATCTACAATATGCACCCAACGGTGCAGTGCCCAATTCCGCTATAGAGATTTAAATACTTTGTAAAGAAACCAATCCTTCATTTAACAACAATGTATAATATTCCTTTCTTTCTTTTCTATCATTTTTTATGCTGATCAATTTATACTTGATGATTCGTAGACATTCCATTTTATGGTGGGGAAAAAAAACCAAACACATCGGTGTAAAAAGAGTGGATTATGGTAATTCGCATTGCATTGCATGAACACAGAGATTGTTCTTTTGTTTCTATTGGGCTGAACACATTGATAACCATATAAAACTTGGCACAAAGGCGGGAGGGCTTTCAAACCCCCTCCCAAGGCTGTTTTACACCAAATGCAATTAGGGATATTTACCTGTGCACCAAAACCTAGAGGTTAAAAAAAAAAAAAAATCGGTCTCAGACTCTATTGTTTATGCGGTGGTCGAATCAATCCGAGAAAGTTGTTTGACAAAGCAAACAAGCCAATGACTGTACATGTACACGATTTATCATGGGACAAAAAAAAAAAAAAAAAAAAAAGGCGTCAAAACGGGGGGAAAATCAAGTAATCAAGCAGTAACGGGATCTCTAAAACTAGGGCACTAGAGAATCAGTCATCCAATAAAAATCTTGTTGATTGATGAAGTAGCAAAATAGCACATGCTGTCTTTGTAAAGTTCTGACATAGTTTTGACAGCTGCACATTAAGGGAAAAATAAAAAAAAAAAAAAAAAAAAAAAAACTCATGCATCCAATACAATACACATATTACATGCATGTTAGTGTACTTTAGTCGATGGTTCATGACGACAATTACTCATGAAAGATCAAGACTCTTTTATTTTTATTCTCATACTGAATAAATGTGAAAGATGGCACATGAAGGTCGTTGCTTTAGCTAATGCTTTTCCCCTAGACTTTTAAGACCGAGTGGTTGAGAGAGAAGGCGTGTTTCATCTTGATCTAGCAACTTCTTTCATGTGTGTATTTGAGTATCCTTGCAGACAATCATAAAAAAGTTCTCGTGAAAGACTAGGGTAAATAAAATAATTTAAGCCGAATTTTTTTTTAAAAAAAAAAAAAAAAGAGATAGAGAGAGAAATGTCACGGGCAAAAGGATAGCAAATCAATATTGACCTGTATTCAATCAAGAGACAAAATGTGTAAACTTGAGGAATGAAAATAGGAAATAGGAAGAGAGCTTCTCGAAGAGCACAGGTAACCTGGCAACTTTTTTTTTATTATGTTATATATTTTTTTTCTTTACAAATGGCCTCTTTGAACCCTTGCTCTGGTTGCTTGTTTTTTTTTTTTTTTTTTTTTTTTTTTTTTTTTAAATACGGCTCCTCCATATGTACCTTGGATGTGAGCGATGTTGGAAATGTAGGAGTGTCGGTATATTAAATAGCGCATGAACCACATTATGGCGACTGTTCGGACTCCATCTGATACTGTATAAACACCTGAATACTGCCACATGCTATTGACCACTCTACGTCCCTTAAACAATATTCTTAGCATACATCTGAACTTTTGCAAGGGATGTGTCAACACTTCGACAAACATGTAACATTTAATGGCTACATCACAGCCCTTGGATTGTGGAAGCGCTGAAAGTATGCGGAAAACGGGAACCATTTGTGTTTTTACTAGCAACAAGCGTGGTTTTAAAAAAGTTTGCCTCCAAGGAACAAATCCTATATCCTTCATTGCTCAAAAGAGACAATCTTGTCTTTTCTGCACCCCAAAAGCTCGCCATAATCCTATTGAAGCGTTCAGAGGCATTATTTGCCTCATAGTTTGAGGATTAGCAGACTTTCAGTCAAGTTTTATTGTTTTGAACAACACAGTAAATCCTGTCCATTCGAAGTTAATCCCTTTGGATGGCAGCTATTCAGGGGATGCTAATCAATTCTGCTAAACTATGGTGAAATCAGAGCAGATTTGGAAAACCAACAAGCATCGAACAGTCGCCTATAGTAAAAAGGGCACTTTACAGATCATTTTGCTCTATATTATAAATATGCACAGTATAACAATAGGGGGTGCTCAATTGCTGTCATGAGGAGCCTTTTTTTTTTTTTTTTTTTTTTTTTTTTAAAAAAAAAAAAGACGATGGCAGGAGTATAGTAAAAGACCAAAATAGGCATTCATGATTCACTGACATCCTTTGCATTACCTTTTCGTGTGCTGAGCACATGACTTTTTACTCATAAAAATAGGGTGATGAAAGTGAGGTATGGTCCTCTATTTGCTCCTTTGAGCTTAGACCCCATTTCGAAGACGTGAGCATACCGTCTGGCGAATCATCTCACTGTGAGAGGACCCTGTTCAATCAACCTTTTTACTTTTTTATTTTTTTTTTTTTATAGGCTTGCACTAAGCCAAACATGTCGCTCCCGACGTTTTATTTTTAAAACAGAAAAAAAAAAAAAAAAGACACGAACAGTCATCTTGAACTGCTGTTCATTTTTTATTAGATGTCATCATAAGGGAAAATAGTGATAATAATAAAAGCAAAATTAAGTATATAAATATTTCATGTGTTTCTTTGTTCCTGCCTTGATCATCTTCATATTGCTGGTTTTTATTAAAATGTAAGATGTAAGAATAATTTTGGTGATGCACGAGGTAAATTAAATGGATCAAAGTATACATGCAACACAGTTGTTTGTTGTTTATGGCCCCTAATCTGATGTGACGAATAAATTTTATTATGGGTTAGTCATTGCAACTGATCTAGGATTTAACATGCTGGAAATCCATCCAGTCATATGCTGAGAAAAAGAAAAAGAAAAAAACTTTGTTGCATGCATGTTCTTGTGTTCAGGTGCATGTGTTTGTGAGATGTGGAGGAAGGAGAGAGGGGCAGTAAGAAGAAGTTGAAGGAAGAGAGACAATCCACTGCACTAACATCCGTTCATTTTACAGACTTTGGAGTTGGCTTTGTTGTTCTCCACAGGATTGGGTTTTTGAACAGGGGCGATGATGCCCCATCGGCTCCCCTCAATTTTTTTTTAACTTTACACTACCCATAATAGGTTGACCAGCTAACACAAAGAGCGAAGGCTGATGCATATTGCTCAAAGGCTATGGATCCGATGCTAAAAATGCCAAGTATAGAACTATAATACCCTGTTCCCTTACCCTGCGTCCATCCATTCCCTTGCTCTTCACTCTCTCTTTGCCCCCCTTCCTTTTCTTGATCATACAAAGTGAGGGAAAAAAAAAAAAAAAAAAAAAAAAAAAAAGACAAAACAAGGGCTCGCAAAGAAGACATCATCGATATATATAAAAAGTGTAAGGTTCATTTAGTATGGGTGAAGTAACATGACTCTGACATTTGGAGTATACTTCCTCGACTGGATACTGGGATACTGGAATACTGGATAAAGGCAAACAAAGGGGAAAGGAACCAAGAAAGCATTGGGGAGAGAAAGACAGGGGACAGGATCATGCAATAATATGTTGGGTACAATTTTTTTTCTTTTCCTGCTGAGTTGGTCAGAAAATATTCACAACAATCATGCATAGCGTTTGAAAATGCATGCGACAAGAAAAAAAAATTGTTGACACATTCGCAACACAAAGAAAGAGAACTATACATGTATAATATATTTATACTAAGCAAGGAAACATGTACATGCTCTCCGGTCTTTTTTTTTTTTTTTTTTTTTTTTTTGCGCACAAGCATGCAAATGATAAATAATACAAATTCACCTTGTCTTTAGGATACAGGACCATTATATATGAATGTATAATATGAATATAATTATTTTTATATATAATATGTATATAGATATTTATTATGTATAAAATGGATGTTTGTCTGATCAATGAGCCCTTTCTATTTCGCCTCTTTATCCTCTTTTGTTTGTTAGATAGTTCAGTTTTCGCACAAATACGACAAAGCGCGTGCATTTGTTTACAACGAAAATCCTTTGCGTTGTCTGTGGATTATTCTGTCCTGAGGAGTGTTTGTATTGAAGGTGCATTTCTAATTGTAAATTGTAAATGCTGTCTTTTGGTGTTTGTGTCTTTGTGTCTGTGTGTCTGTGTGCAGATGTATATTTTAACTGCTTCTGTTTCCCATTCTCTTTTCTCTTTCTTTTCTTCTTCTTCTTCTCCTTTTTTTTTCTCTTTTCTCTTTCTTTCTTTCTTTCTTTCTTTCTTTCTTTCTTTCTTTCTTTCCTTTTTTTTTCTTTTTTACTTCTACTTTTATCTGTTCGCAAACACTCTGTGCTTTACACTCTTCACTCTTTCTTTTTCTTTCTTGTTGTTCTGTTGGTCCTGGTGATTGACGATCATTGTTACCTTCCTTTAAAGTGCTCACCGCATTGTGTATATAAATCTCATAAACGACAACCTCCCCTCCCCACACACACTTTATTTTAATCCATTCACGACTCTTGCTTCATATTCCTTGTTTTTACATGATTTTTTGTATAATTTATTTATTTACTCTGGTAAGCATTCCTGCACCGATACAACAACATGCCTTTGCATTTTATTTAAAACAAGTCTAACTGATATCCCTGCTTTTTTTTTTTTGTTTTTTAAAAATCCCTGATCTTGGTCTTGGTCTTGGGCTTGGTCTTGGTTGTGATTTGTTGTTCTGCATTGTTGTTGGAATACCGTGGCGGGATCTGATCTCCTTGTCTCTCTCTCTCTCCTTATTATCATTTCCTAGTTCAATTTGCCTTGTTCTAATACCCACCTCCCTTCATTTACTTCACTTTCCGTTTCGTTTTCTCTGGTTTTTTTTTTTTTTGTTTCCGTAAAATAATATTTTATATAGTCGCCCCACAGTTTTAATCTTCAGCTCCGGTACTTTTTTCCTTCCCCCACACATATTCAAGTAATTCGCAAACAGGGTCTCTACGCAATTAGGAACTCAATTCCCCTTTATCTAGATAAAGAAAAAAAAAAAAAAAAAAAAAAAAAAAAAGTGATAATTCGTGTTGTCTCGACTGAACAGGGCGTAAAGAGAATACAAAGTCGATAAACATCTCTCAAAAGCAATCTTTTTGTTAGCCCCTCCCCTCCCATTCTCCCTTCATTCGTTTCCTTCATTCTAAAAACATAATCGTTACCCCATGGCATTCACAACTCCAACACCTTCCACGCATATGGGCGTCTACAGCACCGTCAGCAGCCGAAACAGTATTAGTAGCAATCATGGACCCAGTCATTTTAATCGAAGTGCTCAAAGTTCACTCCAGCCCAGGTACATTCCACAGCCACCAGAGTCAACAGCAGCAACAACACAGCCGACACAAGTCTCCACAAAGGCTCTCGCCATCACATCCTCCGCTACAGGCGGTACACCGCCACCACCACTCATGGGTTCTGCTATTGTGCTTGCTAACGACTCTGCGATCCATTGTTTCGGTGGTCGGCTCGAGAATCGGGAACTGACAAACTGCCATTATGTCTTGGATGTCGAAACGTGCCTTTGGGAGACCGTCCATGCAGCACCCTTGCCAGAAAATGAATCTGAGGACGCAAATAAAGAAACATCTGCAGCAGCGACAGCATCAACATCAACATCAACAACATCTACATCTGCATCTGCAGCAGCAGCTTCATCAACGTCTACACAGAGCACAAAAACAAAAGGCGATGAAGCGAACATAGGTGTCAAGAGACCAACTGGTCCAGAAGCGTATTTATCTCTAACTTTGACCACAGACCCTGCTGATACAGATTCAGGCCCTATCTCCGGTGTTGCTTCCTTGCGTCCACGGCCTCGATACTTTCACACATTGAATGCGTTTGGAACATCGCTGGTTTTGTTCGGAGGTATGGGTAAAATTGTAGATAGTGAGGCTGACGAAACCAAAGAGCAGAATGGCAACGGCAATCAAAGTGAAACCGCTGCAGAGGGTCAGGGCAGATTAGCTGCTCTCAACGACCTTTGGGTGTTTGACATCACCACGCAGCGGTGGCATCAAAAAATCCTGCCCATCAACGCTCATACGCCTAGGCCGCGCTGGGCTCACATGGCAACCATATTAGATCACTATCTGGTCGTTATTGGAGGCCAGACTACAAACAAGGAATATGTCGAGGATGCCTGTGTACTGGACTTGCATTCATGGGAATGGGTCGCTTCAATCCACTCCATCGGTCAATGTGGCTCCTACAGAACAGTTGCTGCAACAGGACCTAGCAAACAATCCACCATCATCTCTGAGCCCGCCGCACCTTCCTTCCCCTCTGCTTATGCCTCATCACCCCAGTCATCTGCAAAGCTCGCCAGGCCACTTTCAGAGTCTGGACCGGTCGATGCGATGGCCAGCATTTCCATGGTCCTGAGCGGTCGCATCTCTGCACCCAGTTCAGTAACATCTTCGTCCAAAGATGATGATACCATCAACGAAGTACCCACGACCCAAACGACCAACAACACCAGCAACAATAACAACAGCAAACGTAAAAACTCTGAACGATTGATGAGTGATGAGTTGACACCAGCTTTCAAGACGGGAAAAGATGGTCCTTCAATCTACCTCTATTCTAATTACAATTTCCAAAACTTGCAGAGGGACTTCAAGATCATCACGCCATATTATTCACACCCACTTGTCGCAGGCGCAGATTCTTCAGCCTCGGTACCAACACCACCACCATCATTTTCATTGGTCGAAAAGAGCCAAGCATTGGCAATGATGGGCCCAGAGCTGCCTCCAGGCCTTCGATTCCCACAAGGACATGTTTATCAGAATCAGCTCATCTTGACAGGAACACTGATTCAGCCGGGCAAGGCACCCGTTATTGCCATCTACGCTCTCAACTTGGCTTTGTATAAATGGGAACAGCTTGCCACCGACAGCTTACTGGAGACTGGGTCATGGAATCGTACATTGTTGCACCCTGCCACAGGAACACTGTTGGTGTTTGGCAAGCATTCGAGTGATGCAGAGAAGGATTATGCAAGCCGGATGCAGCACCATGACCACCTCATGCTGATAAACCTTCAAGCCTATGGTCTCTACGATCGTCCTATCCCTTCTCTTCCACAGATTGCCCAGGATCTTGGCCAAGACCTTCTTTTCAACCCAAGTCTAAGTGACATGCACATTGCGTCTGCTACCGGGACTCTCTTCAATGCCAACTCTGGCATCCTATCAGCCCGCTGGCCAGAATTTACCAACCTGTTGCTCTCGCCGCCCTATGTGACGCCACTCATCTTGATCTTGCCAGTTCCAGATGAAGTTGTGCCACTTTTCCTGCAATATCTCTACACAGGAGCCCTGCCCATGACGACGATCACAGCAGGAATGGCCGATTACTTGTTAATTCTGGCACGCAAGTATGAGCTCAACGGGCTCTATGCACTCATCATGGACATTCTCCATCAAACAGTCCACCTGCATCCAATCCGAATCTATGGTTCTGCGCTGATGGCAGGGGAGCTAGGCTTACAAGCTAGGGCAGTAAGCATGGCTATCCAGACACTTTCCAGTAGCGGCAGCAGCAGCAGCAGCATCAGCAAGAACCGACCGACATCTGCAGTCTTAACGATGGCTCCAGCAGGAGCTCTAAAAGATCTTCCACCGGTACCAGCCTCAGCTGCACCAACGCCGTCCTCAACGGCCGCAAAACATGCTCCCACCAACCCGCATCAAAGCTACAGTGGACGTGTGTCAGCACCATTGGTGCCAGTATCGGCAGCAGCAGCAACACCAGCTGGACTCAATAATCCATACTTGAATGTACACCATTCTATTCATATGTCTCGTGAGAGCCTTAGTACAGACGGAGGGTTTGTTCAGGAAGGCCTATTGCAGCAATACAATGGTGGTCAAAAGTTTACGCCAGTGACTATTCAAGAAGGGCAGCAGCAGCAACCTTTGTATCTCTCCTCACCAGACTCTAGAAACCAACGGTCCATGAAGGTACCATCTGGGCCAGGGTCGGGGTCAGGGTCTGGATCGGGTACTGGATCTGGATCAGGATCAGGATCCAACTACACCAGTCCAATGAGTTCTCCTGGCCTTCCACAAGCTGGAACAATCTACCAGACAGCCTATCCTTCCCCTCTTTCACCAGCTTTCCAGCAGTCGCAATTACAATCGTTCTCGTCGCAACAGATCAATACATTCAACTATGACGACTATCCACAAGATGAACGTGCGCTTGAAGCTCGAAGACGTCTTCAACTGCAGATGCAACAGGAGACAGAGCTGCTTCAACAACTACAGCAACAACAGCGACAGTATTCATCACAGCTATTGCAGTTACAACAGTTACAGTTGCAACAACAGCAATTGCATTCACAACAACAGCCTCATCACCTTCAACAAAACCATCAAGAGTATTTGATACAGCAGCAGCTGATGCTGGAACAACAGCAGATGCGTGAGCAAGAGTTGATGTTGTTGGAACAACAACGGTTGCAACATCAGAGGTATTTGCAGAGTCAGCATCGACTCAAGGCTCAACAGTTGCAGCAGATGCAGGATGCTCCATCGACACCTAACCCTACTTCTTCTACTACAGCGGCCATGATGGTTGATGCATTGGATTACCATTTCGGAGGAGGAGGAGGAGGAGTAGGAGTAGGACCAGCACCAGTCCGTTCACCGGCCCGTTCACCAGCCCTAACAGCAGTAGGAACAGTGCCAATGCCAATGCAGATGCAGATGCAGAGTAAAATGCGAGCCACTTCACAACAATTGCCATATCATGATGGTAACAACAGCAGCAGCAACAACAACAATATTAGCAGTGGTAATATCAGTGGAGGAAAGAATGAAAAGGATAAGAAGGAGAAGGAAAAAGAAAAGAAGAAAGAAAAGAAGACGAACAAGGTGAAGCCTCCAAAGCAAAACCTTACTGGTGCAGAGTTAATGAGAAGTGCTGGTTTCTAGAGAAAAAAAAAAAAAAAAAAAAAAAAAAAAAAAAAAAAAAGAAAGAAAGAAAAAAAAAAAGAAAAGAAAAAATAACGAGCTTTTACTTTCATAGTATATAATGATAATTCTGTAATAATAATAATAGTAATAATAGTAATAATAATAAAACAATAATGCTGAATGCTTAAAGAAAGAAAGAAAGAAAGAGGAATGTATGCATAGAAAACTTTGAATACCGTATAAAATGATTGTATTTCCAATGAGTTTCCGATGTCAAGGACAGGAGCATTTGTTCCTAGTGAGGTATCAGAGAGGCTTGCAGATCCTCATGAAAAAGTATCACCGGATGGATTCAGTGATGATAGATTACAAATGCCATCTCGGTGGTGCTTCCTATATTTTTGTAGCGTTAAAAAAAAAAAAAAAAAAAAAAAAAAAGGAAGTAGTTTTGTCGGATACAAAAAAAAAAAAAACGTGACTATCAGGATCACTTTTGTATTGCCCTTAATACTCGCAGGATCTCACGAGAGAATGGCGCCCGAAAGTTTGATTCTTAAAAAGTCTGTGTCCTCTGGCTTCTTTATTTACTCGAGTTCGATAATGTAGAACAGAAGTAAGCCTCTTGACAGTATGCTGGAATAAGGGGTACCAAAGATACAATCCCACTTTTTAACTTGGCAGTAAAAAAAAAAAAATAAAGGAGTTCTTTGAACCTGAGATCCTGAGCTGTCTAAACAACTTGCTTGTAAATAAAGCACATTTGTCGATATACATTTATGTGCTTTCTTTTTAATCGGTATCGAAAGCTTTGATAAAATAGTTTTGCAAACAATGCTCTTCCATTCCACTAGCGATGCGTACTTGAACCCTTCGTCGGATGTATATACTCTCTGATGTGGTTTCTAACACCTTTCGAATCCTTGTAACTTTGAATATAGTCTAGGACTTACATGCAGATTTTTCATCATCTTTCCTTGGCTCAATTGAGAATCTGAGAGCCAATCTTATTGAGTGCCTGAAAATTTGTCATGGCATGTAACAACTGATCTTTGGCAGCCAAGCGTTCATGGCGATGTTCTTTTGACCAATTTCAGCATGAAAGCGCAGATCGACGGGATTTGTAATGCGATGATTGCTTAGAGGAGGTTGGATTGTAAGCATCTAGCCTTCTTTTTGACCCATTTTTAGGAGCGGGCATTCTTCTTTATCTGTGAACTTTCACTCCTACACTTTGACATGCTTCTCCTAGCTATCGTAATCAACTCCAATGGTGGTCTTGGTCCCATTCCTTATCAAAGAGTTACAATCCGCTAGGTTATCCCCTATTATTCTAGCACGCGGTGCACTCATTCCCTGAATACAAGAACAGGCGGCGGACGACGGTCATTATTGACGACGCGATTGTAGACTATAGACTGTAGACCACACAAGACGGTTACTATTTCATAAACATATAAAAATAGCTTCTCAGGGAGTTTTCCGGTACGATCATTCCAAGAGAAAGTACCCTTTCATTCACTATCCTTTCATTCATCTCTTTATCATTATTATTACCATCTTTTTTTTTTTTTTTTTTTTTTTTTTTCCTTTTTCGCTTCGCATCCTCTTCCTACTTCAACATCTTATTTTCTTTTTCTTTTTAACACTACTACAATGAAAGTCACTGTTGCTACGTTAATTGCCGCTGCCATGTCAAATATGGTGATTGAAGCAAAGTAGTGCCAGTACCTAAACCCGCTCACTAAAACCCTTTGTAACTCGAAATCAACTAGTTATCCTAACAGAAATGTTGGGGTAATGGTGGAGAATTGGGCAGGCGTGTGGTATTGCGACGTTGGCGACAACGGTCAAGAGTGGCTTGAGCGGTGCAGGAGATTTTTTCATCTGCTTCTAACTCCTCAGGCTGGATGGGACATGACGCTCTAGTACGGAGTATTCTCTGTAAGCTTGTTTATCCAAGAATAGCTTGAAGGTATTTGTGTATATCTATGCACTTGCCAACTCAGCCTTAATGGACCACTTGGTAATCAGTAGTGCGTACAAGTATGAGATTTGTTGTGTCCAAGGACCTTGATAAATATATATGCTACAGCTCGCGTCGTTTTAATGCGCATAACAAAAGAATATAAAATAAAACTTTTCTATTAACAGACTTATTTGCAAGACTTTAAGAAGTGATCCATACCTTTAATGGAGAGGCAAGCGCACCCATATTTCGATATGTCCAAACTTCTTCCAAAAGTACATGTTACCTCAGACAGCTAATCTATACACAGACTATCATCCATTGGTCATCAATGCGTTAGTGACAATGTGGCACGATACGGTCTTCAATTATGCCTTTACGACGTATTAGAGGTTTGGAGTATTGAACATCTTATAAGGCGCTTTGTCAATTCTATCTCCTGTTTTCAACAGGGAGCTATCAATGGACGAGAAGAAACAGCGACAGTATACAGGCACGCTTTACAATAATAAAGAAGTCCGCGCTTGGGGGACGATAGCGCGACTCGTCAGGGGCAAAAGAATGGCATTTAGGTTAAAAAAAAAAAAAAAAAAAAAAAAGCTCAACTTGTCGCGAATCACCTTCTCATGATCCGAGCACTTGCTAGCTTCGGGAAGAGGCCTCACGATCGTAGTGTTATGACTCCCTGCATTGATGTGATATTCTTGTTCTCCAAGCAACCATCCTGGCACTTGCAATTAACATTCTCTACCCGCATTTGTTGCACACCGATCTTGGTGCGTAACTCCTTCTTTCCATGAGTAGGTCTCGTTCGAAGGTGCTTCTCAGGCACATCAGTATGAACAGTTCGGTAATACTCCTTGGTCAGCTGCTTCAACGCTCTGGAGGTCCCAAGGCATTCAATTGAAGGATGCTTTTCAGTAAAGAATCAGATCGAGGTCATTTATGGCGTTGCTTACCTCAATCCATCTAAGCCTCTCAGCTCAGGAAGCATACAAAGCCAGCAGACCGGCGGTGCTCTTTCGTTCCATTTGCCAAATATGATGAAGCTGCCATTTGCTATCACTATTCCCACCAGACCATGCATGGGTTCTACTATTGTGCTTGCTAACGACTCTGCGATCTATTGTTTCGGTGGTCGGCTCGAGAACCGGGAACTGACACGCTACCATTATGTCTCAGATGTCGAAACGTGCCTTTGGGAGACCATCCATGCAGCGCCCTCGCCAGAAAGTGAGTCTGAGGATGAAGCTGCTGCTGCAGATGTTGATATAGGTGTTATTGACATTGATGTTGTTACTGTTACCGGTGTTGCAGATATTTATTTATTGGCATCAATGCCTACACAGGACACAAAAACAAGAGATGATGGAGAGACCATAGGCGCTAAGCAACCAACTGGCCCAGAAGCGTATTTATCTCTAACTTTGACCACAGACCCTACTGATACAAATTCAGGCTCCATCTCCGGTGTTGCTTCCTTGTGTCCACGACCTCGATACTTTTACGCGTTGAATGCATTTGGAACATCGCTGGTTTTGTTCAGAGGTGTGGGTAAAATTGTAGGCAATGAGGCTGACGAAACCAAACAGCAGAATGGCAACAACAATCGAAGTGAAACCACCATAGAAGACCAGACTGATGAATCCCATTGGGATTTCGCAATCTGAGCAGCCTACCAGACAACCTATCTTTCTCTTTTGCCATTAGCTTTATATCAGCCGCAATTACAATCGTTTTCATCACAACAGACCAATGCATTCAATTATGACGGTTATCCACAAGATAAACGTGCACTTGAAGCTCAAAGATGCCTTCAGCTGCAGATGTAGCAGGAGACAGAGTTGCTTCATCAGCTACAACCACAATAACGGCAGTATTCACCACAGCCGCTGCAATTACAACAACTACAGGTGTAACAGCAACAATTGTATCCACGACAACAATCTCATCATCTTCGATAGAGCCATCAAGAATAATAGTAATAATAATAGTACGTCCTATTCTAGAACCCCAACGGTGATGGTTTTCATTGAGCTACTTGTGTGGAGAGCAAGGACTATTTTCCTGGTGAAGGTATCAGAAAGACTTGGTCGATAATCAACCAGAAGTGACCGAATCCTCACGAATAAAGCGCTGGAAGGGTTGAGGATGATAGATGACACGAAAGATTTTTCCTTGTAGCGAACCTTAAAAAAATGCCATCTCGACTGTGCTTCACAGCGTGGGTCTTTTTTTTTTGCGAGGATAGATCATAGTTTAGTCAGATATTAGATTGACTATCGCCCTCAATACTCGCAGGAGGGATGCGCAAGCTTTTTCTTTTTAAAAACCAATTTCAGCGCCATGAAAGCACAGACCAACAAACATTGTTTCATTGATACATTCTAACCTTATACAATTAATTGGATGAGGTTGTGTCTGTCTCTCCTTTGATGCTAAACGAGCAATTGTATACAATTCCGTGATTGGTCTTGGTCCCACCCCCCTATCAAAGGGCTGTAACTCATCAGAAAGATCTTCCTTTTCCTTTACCTCATACTACATTTCCCTCTATCATCCCAGCATGCGGCGGATCGATTGTAGATGGTAGACGACGCAAGACGCCTATTATTTATTTTTTATATAAAGGCGACCCCTCCTCTCAGCAAATTTCCTGGCAAGATCATTCCCAGAAGAACACCCTTATATTCACACATCCACTACTCATCTCCACATCCCTTGTTTTGCTTATTGCTTCAATCGTATTTTAACACCGCTACAATGAAATTCACTGTTGTTACGCTAATTGCCGCTGTCATGTCAAGTATGGTGGTGGAAGCAAAAATGGTGCCAGTGCGCAAACCCGGGCACTAACACCCTCTGTAACACGAGATCGCGTGAGCACCCCGATAGGAATCTTGGCACGATGGTCCAGAATTGGGCAGGCGTGTGGTATTGCGATGTTCCTTTTGGCGGAGTTAATGAGTGGTATGACCGATGTCGCAACATCTCTCTCTGTTTCTAACTTCTCAAGCTTTGGAAGGACATGATGCTCTAGCGCGAAGTATTCCTGTAAGCTCGTTTCTCCAACGATGTTTGAAGATATTCGCTTTCTTTGTGCGTATGTCTATGCATTTGCTAACTTGACATTAGTTGGGTCTCTTGATAACCTATAGTGCTTACAAGTATGGGCTTTGTCGTGTCCAAGGGCCCTAATATATATGTTACAGCTTGCTTTGATGTACATAATAAAGGAACACCCAATAAAGCCTTTTCTATTAATTGAGTTCTTGGCATAGGAGTGAAGGAAAGCATTAAGCATTTGACTGGGATGTCTGCAGTGAAGAAGCAAACACAGCCATATCTCGGTGTGTGTAAACTTCTTCCGGTGGTGCATGTACATCCCAAATATTACTCTATACACAGGCCATTACACGCTAATCATTAATGCGCCGGTGTCAAAGTTATGCCTTTACGGCTCAATACAGATCTGGAATATTGGCGATCTTACCTGAAGCATTGTCATGTCTATCTCTTGTTTTCAAAAGAAAGCTGTCCATGAGCGAGAAAGAAATAGCGATATGTTTTATAAAAATAAAATTCACGCTTGGAGACGATAACGCGACTCATTTGGTGTGAGATTAGCGATATCTGTCACGGATTGCTTTCCCATGATCCGGGCCCTCTTCAGCACTTGCTAGCCCCGCGGGGAGGCCCCTCGACTGTCTCATTATGGTTTTTGCATTGAATTGGCGTCCAAGCTATTGGAGCAGCAATCCTGCTACTTGCCATTGGCACTCTCTGCTCGCATTTGTTGTATATCCGATCTTACTGAGTAGCCTAGATGATACAAAACCCTTGTTTGCGCCTTATTGATCATAATTAAAATAAAATATAATAAAATAAGAAATGATTTAATAGGGTCGCTTTTGTCATCATCTTTTAAAACTCACAGGGGATCCAGCAGGTTTTCTTTTTTTTTTTTTTTTTTTTGTGATCCGAAAATTTGATTCATTATAAAACTGGTGCCTTGGCTTCTTTATTCCCTCAGGTTCGATAGTATAGATCAGAAGCTACTCGCTTAACAGTGTACTCGACAGATGCGCCAGAGATGCTGGCCCTCTCGCTTTTATGAAAGGTCTGTGTGTTCTCTGGGCCTGGTCACAGGCTCGATCTTAGTCTACTTTAAGATTTCGAGCTCTCCTGTATTTTTGATGACTGAACCCTCTGGAGTATCTACAGACCCCGAATGAATGTCAAAATGCTGCTGGCTCAATCCTTAAACTATCTGAACAATTTACTTGTAAATAACACGCTCATTTGCCGATATGTAAAATACATTTTTTTTATGCTTTGTGGACCTCGATGGAATATTTGGTTCTTGTTCGGATCCTTCCGTAAACACAAACATGATTCCTCTATATATTTCATCAACAAGGGGTATTTATACCTCAGCTAAACATGGTATGTGTACCTTGAAAATTTGATTTTCATTTCCTTCCTCCTTTCCTCCTGGCTCAATTGGGGATTTGGGCAGAATTTAACAAAGATTATATGGTGGCCAAGCGTTCATGGCAGAGCTGCTTTTTTATTCTTTACCTCATTTCAGCATGAAGGAACAGACAAAAATTGCTCCGAAGGCATACACAAGCGTTATACCATAACTGACTGGGTGCGGTTGCTTTGTGAACGCCTACAAACTTTATCAAACATTCCTTTCTGAGGTCCCCTTGGGCTATCGTCATGTGGTCCTCTTTTCATACCTAACATTTTTTTTTGTTCTATTCCTTCAGTTCTACTAGCATTTTTTTTTTACACATACTTCCTCCTCTTTCCAATGCTAACGAGCATTCGTAATTAGTCCCAAGACTGATCCTGGCTCCATTCATCATCAAAGGGCTAGAATTCGTCAGGCCCAAATAATCTCATCTCTCCTTAGATATTTCCGTACAGCCCCAGCATGCGGCGCTTTTCTTTTTTTCCTTGACACAAGAACAGGTGACAACAATCATTGCTTACTGCCGACGCAACTTTAGACTTTAGGCAGATGCCGTTTATTTAAATTTAAATAAGATAAAGGCCGCCCCTCCTCCCAGAAACTTTTTCGGTACGATCAACCCCAGAAAAACCACTCTGTTTTTTTTTTTTTTTTTTTTTTCTTCAAAATCCAAGCATTTTTATTTGATTCGGCTATTATTCTTATTTTTTAACACTGCTACAATGAAATTCACTGTTGTTGCGCTAATTGCCGCTGTCGTATCAAGTATGGCGGTGGAAGCAAAATGGTGCCAGTGCGCAAACCCAGGCACTAGCACCATCTGTAACAGGAAATCACTTTCCAACCCCTATAGGAATATTGGCAGGATGGTGCAGAATTGGGCAGGTGTGTGGTATTGCGATGTTAGCAACGTTAATGAGTGGTATGACGCATGTCACAACATCGCTATCTGCGTCTAACTCCTCAGACTTTGGATGGGGCATGCTGCTCTACTATGGAATATTCTCTGTAAGCTCGTTTCTCCAATGATGCTTGAAGATATTCGCTTTCTTTGTGCGTTGTCTATGCATTTGCTAACTTGACATTAGCTGGGTCTCTTGATAACCAATAGTGCTTACGAGTATGAGCTTTACTGTGCCCAAGGACTCCGATATATATGTTACAGTCCGCTTTGATACACATAATAAAGGAGCACCCAATAAAGCCTTTTCTATTAACTGGAGTTTGAAGGAAAACATCAAGCATTTGACTGATGCCCAAGCTCTTTGGGCAGTGTTGCTGTTACTTGTCATTGACACTCTCTGCTCTTATTTATTGCACACCCGATCTTGATGAGTAACTCCTTCTTCCTGCGAGTAGCTCTGGTTCAAAGGTATTTCCCAGTCATGTCGGCGTGAGTAACTCTGTAACTCTTCTCAGTCAGCTGTCCCATTACCCAAGGCATTCAGTTTAGGGACACTTTTTACTCGAGTCAGATCGAAGCGTTGCTTATCTCAACCCGTTTAAGTCCCCCATCTTAGTAAGGGGGCATACAGAATCAGCAAGTCGTTAGTGCTCTTTCGTTCCATCTACGAAACATGGCGAGACTATCATTTGCTATTGCCATTCCGACCAAACCATGACGACGGAGATGACTGCGTGCAAAACATTGCTTAACCTGCTCGTGCTTCGATGCCTGGTTATTCTGCAAAATGACAAACATCAAAAATAGAAAGTATACCGATTAAGCCTCCCTTAAAAACGAAGAGGATTTGCTCTAGCACTGTACATGTATACAATTTGTAACAAATACGATTGAAGGGTAGCATACTCGTAGACGCACTTAAGAGACTTCTAATGAAGCCTATTTAAAACAAGAATCTATATCCTTTACTGGACAAACACACAAGAAGTAGGTCGCTTGGCAAACGGCGACGAATAATATAATACATACACGCGCAAAGAAAAGGTTGTTGGATTACGGCGGGACAGTTCCAAGCCAGAATCTATGCGACGAATATCGCCTTTTGCACTTTTTAATTGAATAGCAAATAAAGTTCGGCTTTTGAATCATGTCATGCAGGGTCATCATGCAGGACGGAAAGCTGTGGTACGTGCTAATGTGATAAATATACTTTCAAATATTGGAAAAGATAAATACATTGCAGAAGGCTTTTCGACTATGGTGTAAAAATCTTCGTACCTTTGGTC